GCCAGATCATCCCCGCTGCGCGCCGCGTGCTCTACGCCGCGCAGCTCTCCGCTCGCCCGAGGCTCATGGAGCCCATGTACCTCGTCGAGATCCAGACCGAGGACTCGGCCATGGGCAGCGTCTACGGCGTGCTCTCCATGCGCCGCGGCCACGTCTTCTCCTCCGAGCAGCGCGAGGGCACGCCCATCTACACCCTCAAGGCCTATCTGCCCGTCATGGAGTCCTTCGGCTTCACCTCGGCCCTGCGCGAGGCCACCGGAGGCAACGCGTTCCCCCAGTGCGTGTTCGACCACTGGCAGGCCATGAGCGGCGATCCGCTCGACCCCAACAGCACGGTCGGTAAGGCCGTGCTCGGCGTGCGCAAGCGCAAGGGTCTCAAGGCCGAGCTCCCCACCGCCGCGGCCTTCATGGACAAGCTCTAAGGCGGCTCTCTTCTCTCTTCTCTCTTTCTTCTCTCTTTCTCTCTTTTTCTTTCCCTCTCTTTCTCTCTCCTCTCAATCTCTAGCTCTCTCGATCGCGGCTGAGGAGACGGGGGAGGTCTGCAGACTTCTGCGGTCCTCTCCTGGCCCACCCTCCTCGAGCTGAGCACGCCATACGCGCGAATGGCGCGAAGATGGACGGCGGCGAAGTGATTCAGCTTCCTCGCCTCCACTCTCTGCTCTCCATTCGCGCGCGCGTGGCGTGTGCTGTACTACCACAAAACGGAAGGCCACAACGCCGCTGCTCGCCTGACAGAGGAACGCGAAAGTGCTTCGCAAGTGCTCTGTTGGGAGGGTCAGCGGGTCTTCCAAATACATTCAACCTTTTTTGAAACATACCACCGCGCACGAACACAACTTTTGCACTTTGATGGCACCATCGGCACTGAAGCGTCATCCAAGGGGGCCTTAAAAGGTGGAACAGTCAAAAGAGCGAAAGAGAAAGAGAGAATGAGAGAAAGAGAGAAAGAGAGGCAGTGTGGTGTGTGTCCGATACAGTCAGCGGGCGTGTGCTCAGGGGTCGATTTCAATGCCGATGAGCGAGGCCACGATCCCTCTGTGCTCCTGCTTGAACTCTGCCCTATTCAGATTCTTAACCTTTACGAAGAGGCGCTTGATGTTCTGGGTGCTGACGACCGAAGCCATGATCTGATTGACGGCGGCCTCCGACAGGACGCCCTCCTCGTTGTCGTTCATCTGCTGGCGCACCTTGAACAGGGCCACGCTGTAGAGGACGCCCATCGCCACGGTCAACACGGGCCCCACGCTAGCGCTGATGGCTCCGCCCGCGACGGTGCCGAGCCCGGGGATGAACTTGAGGAGCTCTGGCAGGCCGAGCGCGGCGAGGCCGGTCAGCAGCTGCATGCCGGCGTAGCTGACCAGCAGCCACGGGTAGCGTTCGAGGGGCACTCCGGTGGCCACACCAAGCGAGACCAGCATGCCCGACTGGATGCCGGCGATGGCGGGAATCTCGACCAAGGGCACAACGACGGCCGCGCCAGTGACACCGGCGCTGATGGCGGCGGAGAGAATGATGCCAGTCAACATGGGAATCTTCCTCTTGAGATCGACCACCTGAGCTGCGACGTGCATGTCGCCCAGATTGGGGTCGATCTTGGTCAGCTCGTCGTAGGTGGCCTGTTCGAGGCCGCGCACCTCGTGGTTGAGCCGCGACCAAGGACCCGAGTGGCCGCACGTGGTGCACCTCCAAATGCGGCTCCTGGCGATGGTGGCGAGCTCGTCGCTTTGGCACCTGGGACACTCCGAGGGGGCGCGCAGCCCCATGGAAGAGCTGAAGACCGGCGTCTCGGCGCCCAGCGAGTGCTTGATCGTGCGCTTCATCTCGGCGATGTCCTGCGACGAGCTGTTGTCGGCGTGCAAGAGAACGATGATGACCGGCAGCTGGCGCCTCTTGAGGAAGCGGCAGTTGCGGTCGTCGTTGTCCTGCCAGCGGCTGGGACCCATGGTGACAAAGTACCACACGACGTGCACGCGCTTGTTCTCGTCGCCCTGGAGCTCGTTGAGCTGGCGACCCAGCGTGTCCCTCCATTGCTGGGCGTTCTCGGTCTCGATGCCCGGGTAGTCGTAGAGGCGCACCCACGACGAGGGGGACCCGTAGAGCTGAAGGCACTGAGTGACGGGCCTGCCCACGCCGGTGTCCGCGAGGCGCTGGCCGTAGACGCGATTGACCATGGTGCTCTTGCCGGAGCCGGTGGGTCCAAGGAGGAGGATCGTGGGGTGCGGGATGGCGATTTGGCTTGACTGGTCGTCCAGCGGTTTGAACGAGTTGTCCTCAGGTGGTCGATCTCAAGTAGAAGATCCCCCGGGTGGCTGGCATCATCTTCTCCTGCGCCGCGCTCGACCTGGCCATCTTCCCTGGTATCGCTCGCCTCCACACGGGCATGCTGGTCACCCTCGCTCTGGCCATCGGGATCCGCATCTATCGCTACCCGTGGCTGCTGGCAGGGCACGCTGTCAAGCAGCTGCCGCTGAACCTGGCCACGCTCGGCCTGGACTTGGGCTCGCTCGGCCTGGCCGGGTCCACCATGACGGTCGCGCTGGGCGTCCTCTACAGCGTGGCGCTCTTCAAGATGCGCCAGATGCTGAACGATCGTGAAGAGGACCTCCCGGAGGCCATGGTCAAGGAGATCATATCAAGCGTCGTCAACGTGGCCCACCTCCGACGCTTCGCTGAGGAGCTTGTTGTAGGGGCAATCCT